TGCTGCAAGACAATTTAGCCTATTACAAAAAAAAANAAAAAAAAAAAAAAAAATAACAGTGATCTCCCTTTGTTTTCGGCCTCATGCATCCACGGAAGCGATTCTTCTTCATCTGTCTACCACTGTCTCTCCTCCCAGATATAATTTCCTCTAGCAGAATTCTTGTTATGTCTCCAACCCTAGTGTGCTTACTCGCATGCTGTTCTTCAAGTTCAGCAAAACATACTGGATTTTATGCAGTTCCAGCTCTAGCCTTTCTATCTTATCTGTTTCCCTTCTTGCTTGTTCTGCAATTTGCCGTCTTCTCCGCTGCCACCATCTTCAGAGTTTGTGTCCATACTATCCGAGTTTTCCAACTTCTTGTTTGTATCAATTAGCTCAGTGGCAGCTCCTTCAGCATCATTTAACTGTACATAAATTGTGTTAAATCTTAAACTTGCAGGAAGCTTCCCCAGTTGAGAGCTTTCCATTTTCCTCTTCAAATCCTTCACATTAGTTTCGAGATCTAAGAACTTCTGCAAGTCAGTTTGAAGCCTTTCGATGACTCTTTTGGCCCATTCTTGTTCGTTGCCAAAGCTCTCTTCAGCATCACTAACATGTCAACACTCGACTCCACCACCAGCTCTGGAGAAGGATACATGTCGTTCCCCTCTGTTGAACCCACCCAATGACGGAGGTGTAGTGGCTGCCACCACACCCCGCTGGACCAACGATAGAATGACATTTGCCACCCCCACCAATGACGATGAAATTCAAGGGCTATGATAGAAATTTTTAGAACCATGAGAGTAAAACCATCTTTTTATGTGCTTAGAGGTGCTCGGTGAGAAATTATGAAACTTATATACTTTTTCTAAGAAGTCACCAAATAATATATAATTTTATTCTTAATTAGGCTGTGCCACGTGATTATAGACGGTCGATCCATTAAATCAGCCTTTTTAAGGTGCCCATCAACATTAAAATTGAGAAAAATAAAAAACCCAATCTCAATGAGTAGCAAAAAATAAAATATATTATAGGCTTTTTTTCCTTTAATGTTTTATAAAGAAAGATTTTCTACTTTTAAAGCGATGATACATATCAATTTTCACAACCAACAAACTATATTACACCATCAATACCTTTTACATAATAAAAAGGGTGATCACACCTAAGGAAACTTAATAAAAAACTCATGATATTATCCTTAGTTACATTGTTACTGAAGTATAGTAGGTTCAATCAACAAAAACCTGATGCGATCCTCAATCACTCGACCGGCTTTTCCATGTCCATCTCCATATTGGTACATGCATTGGGCCATTCATGGGACATTGATGAATATCATTTTCAGGTTTTCCTCAAAACAAGAAATGAAACTTCGATCTCCGTTTATTGCTCTTCAATTTTCCCTAATCAATCGCCTGATATGCTCACGAGCCGCATACTCCGACAAACTGCTCTCATACATGCAGCCCTGGATAGATTTGGGCACATCGCCTCTTTCAAGCTCGTCCTGCACAAAAACAACCGATGCAGAGAGGAGAAACTGTGTGAACTCTTTCCTGACCTAAACCAGGAGGTTCACTCGATGGACCTTTGTCCTAAGAATCAGGCGGCGTGGTCCATTGATCTCTACGTGCATGATGCTGGGTGGCATTAAACCTAATCCCGTGATAAGGAGCATTAAACCCGAAGGTATGTAATCGGTGTGAACATAATACATATATCCCACTGGGAGCAAAGACTGAGACTGGGTCACAACGTCGGGTTCGGATCAACCTCTACCATCATGCATCATCGTCCACTGCAACATGGTTGTTGCATCAAACGCAATTCCGATACAAATGTTGGCCAACTTGTCTTCTACCTCAAAAACACTATGAATTAAGTGAGCTGATGGGGGCTTCCTGGCTAGCAGTACCGTCAGCGTCATCTGGTTCGCTAAATAAATGTGTAGGTTGGTCATGCGTCGATAGCAGCCTTTCAGGTCGGTGATGGGTTTGGGTGACACCTTGCCCTCGTTCTTATCTTTCCACGATAAAGATGTCATGATGCTACGACTACACGCACGGAGATATAAGAAATAGTTGGAGAGAGAGAGAGTTACGCCTCCTCATCATGATCATGTGCTATCGATGACTAGATTTTGCAGTCATCACAGAATCATAATGATACGTGATCCAGTAGTTCGTCCACTCTGAACGCGTTTGGCAGAGCCAGTGTGGGACAGTAGTTCGTCCACTTTGCTTCCACCCACAACAATATGCAGAGCCAGTGTGGGACAGCGTGCGGCAGTCAGTTGGCACCGAGCTTAGACGAAGTAGCGTGATGGAATGACTACCAACTCGTTTATTTAACGTAGTAGCGTGATGACGCACCGAAGGCAGAGTCCAAAGGTAGAACGCGTTTACTGAACGAGTCCTGACGCTTCTGATGCACGGACGGAGGAGTCCAAAGGTGGGCCCCCGTCGCACCCCGAAAGACCAGCTACAAAGCAGCCCTCGCCGCCTTGGCGTGAGCGGAGGCGCAGGCGACGCTGCACGGCACCTCCGCGACGAGCGGCGACTCTCGCCGCCGCACCCTCGTCACCGTTAGCTGTTGGGCTGGCAGTCTACAGATTCAATCCATGGTGAGCTTGAACAGCCCACCTCCTCACTTAACTTAACCCTAATTCATATTGGGGGATGTGGGTGGCTATATTTTAAAGGCAGAAAGAGGCATAGATAGGGCAGCAACGAGGGCAACAGTAGAGATCTTGACAACAGCAAAAAGGAGGAGAACAAGACAAAAAAGGAAGAGAAAGAAATCGACGAAAACAAGGACAACGCAGAGAGACTGTTCTCAATCATCCATCAATGTTCTCATCTCAAGTTAGATCAAATCTACAGTAGATTTTTACTGTGATTACTTGAGAAGAATTAGGGAGGATTTAGATATTGAGCACAGGATCTTAGTTATTCTTTTGTGATTGTTGCTAGAGTTTTGGGCAAGAGAATAAGATTTGTATATTCATTATTCTTATAGTAGATTATCTCTAGTTTGCCCTGTGATTTTTACCCTTCATATTGAAGGGTTTTCCACGTATATCTTCGTATTCTATTTTATTATAGTTTCATTTAATTCCGCGGTGTGTTATGGCCTACTAGTATTTGTTCATATACAAAAGTTATATCTCTTTATATCCCATCAATTGGTATCAAAGCAGGATTATAGTGATTTAATTTTGTATTTTAACATGGAGGCTAATAGTGTTTCTCACATGATTAGTTTGAATGAAAATAATTGGATGATATAGAAACCAAGAATGGAAGATCTCTTATATTATAAAGATTTGTATGGACCTTTGTTGGGGGATAGTGCGAAACCTACAACTATGACAAATGATAAGTGGAAGAGGTTAAATCGAAAAATAGTTGGGTTTATTTGATAGTGGCTTGATGATAGTATATTTCACCATATTTCTACTAAAAGTTTTGCATATTCTCTTTGAAAAAAATTAGAAGGTCTCTATAAAAGAAAAACAACTGGTAACAAAGATTTTTTTATCAGAAAACTTGT